CTGAGTAACTGTGATTTTTCAATGGAGATGGGGAGGGAACAAATGTTTATTAAGCTCCTACTATGTGCTAGGCATTGTGCTAGCTGCTTTTCACAAATATTATCTCATTTGATCTCACAACCACCCATGGAGGGTAAGCATTGTTATTAACCTTATTTTACAGTTGAGGAAACTGAGGCAGACAGAAGTTAAGTAACTTATCCAAGGTCCCACAGCTAGTAAGTGTGCCTGACCCTATCCAGGCACACATCTCAAGGGACTCAGATCTCCTTACTCCAGAGAATGGGGAAAAAAGGGACTTAGGATAGAAAATAGCCCTGAGATGAAAGAATATATTTCAACTCTTGTGGAATAGGACTGAGAATACAGATTTAAGAGACCAAGACTTTTTAAGGCAAGGTCTCCTTTTTCTCTGATTGATTCCCTATCATACTTCCCACAAGAGCTTCTGTTCCAAACCTCTTCTCTCTTTCAGCTACCATCACTAGCCCTGCCTTCTCCCTCTCAGAAAATGGCGGCCATCTGTTGAGACTTCCCTATTCTCTCCCATTTATTAGCCTCTTTAAAAATGCAATCTGTCCTCCTTTTACCAGAGCCATTTGTTGTATGTGATTTGACATTGAGTTCACAAGATTTTGACACATGCTTTAATTTTTCATCAGGAAGCTACTCTTGTATCACACTGGACACTAGGTACAACTTGGACAAACAATTCAACAATTGTTTATTAAGCATCTATGATGGTTTGTAAAGATGGCTAGGTGGTGAAGTAAATAGAGTGCTAGGCCTGAAGTCAGGAAGACTCATCTTTGTGAGTTCAAATCTGGCCTCAGACACTTACTAGCTGTGTGACCCTGGACAAGTCACTTAACCTGTTTGCCTCACTTTCCTCACGTGTAAAATGAGCTGGAGAAGGAAATGGCAAACTACTCCAGTTTCTCTGCCAAGAAAACCCCAAATGGGTTCATGAAGAGTCATACACAACTGAAAATGACTCAATCATAAAATCCACTCTGAGTACTGTTCTTAGCCAGTTTTGAGCTCCTCTCTCCCATGTAACAGCGTTATTTCTGTTACTGCCAATAATTGTTGACTCCCATCTCACATTGTTGATCATGATGGCTGTGGCAAAGGCACTATTATTCATTGGAGGAAGTCCCAAGACATCAAAGTACATTAAGAGTTATACCTGGATAGGGTCAGGAAGAGTTGGATATGACTGAAATGACTGAAAACAAAAAAATGGTTTGTAAATAATGAATAGGAGTTTGTGGAGTGCTGGCCTTTGAGATCTCCTCCCCAGATCTACATCTGTAAATGTGCTAAGTGCTGGGGGACATCTGAACTTTGGATAAAACATGGTTAGCTCTTGGAGCTTATAATCTAGCAGGGGGCTAGACATAAACATGAAAAGCTATAATGCATGGCATACATGCTAAGTGCATTAGAGAGTTAGAAAGCGAAGGTGAGGGACATGCAAATATAGGAGCAAGATGACTAGAGACAAGAGTGTGGGGGGAGTGAAGCATGGCTAGAGCAGCTGGCCTGATAGAGGCCACCACACTCACCAGTCAGGACCTCGGTAGCCCCAGTACGAGAGTCTGAAACTGAAAGAATGAAATCTTCTCTGGGCCAGGAGGCAAGGCAATTAATGAGAAGATGGCAGGGAGCTCTGAGGAGTGATGTCCAGTGTAATGGATACACTCACACATACAAGAAGTTCACTACTAAAATTCAGAACTGCTTTGGGTTTTAAGTTAATTGGTCCTATGCCAGGTCAACTACTAGGGAGGAGGGAATTATTATCACTTATTAAGCTTATATTATATGCCAGGCACCGTGCTAAATAATTTCACAAATATGATTTCACTTGATCTTCAAAACAACCCTGGGAGATAGATGCTGTTATTATTCCCACTTTTTAGTTGTTCAGTCGTTTTTCAGTCATGTCCAACTCTTCATGATTCCATTTGGGGTTTTCTTGGCAGAGATACTGGAATGGTTTGCTGTTTCCTTCTCCAGCTCATTTCACAGATGAGGAAACTGAAACAAATGGGGTTCAGTGACTTGCCCAGGGTCACACAGCTAGTAAGTGTCTGAAGCTGGATTTGAATCCAGATCTTCCTGACTCCAGGCCCAGCATTCTAACCAGTTCACCATTTAGCTGCCTACTACTAGTGGAAAAAAGAAAACAGGGTAGAGAGCCTGGGATTCTGCAAGTGTGAAAATTTCACCATAGTATCTCTCCTACTATTCCAATGTATGATACCTACCACCATAAATATATACATGAGGGGATGCCAAAGCATCTAGTGAGTTTCCAATATAATTGCAGTGTGGACTTTGCTTTGTCTTACAGTCTTGGAGTTCAGATCACTTTTATTTAATGTGTAAAATGTATCAGCATAACCATTGTGAGGAACTGCCTCCGCTACTTCTGTTTAGCATCAGAAAAGGGATTTTGTTGTTGGTATTTCCAAACAAAATGGCTCCAGACAAGCTATTTATAAATGTTTATAAACACACACAGGGCAGAAGAGGAGCTCCAAATCACCTGAGGCCCTAGAAGGATGAACAAATATAACCTCAAGGTTTTAGAACCTGAGAGGTTGTCTAGTAAAAAAGGATATTCTCTACAGCATCCCCAAAATGTGGTTGTCTAGCCTTTCCTTGGAAACTTCCAATGGGAGGGGGGGACCCACTCCCTCTTGAGGCAGCCTATCCCTCTTATGGATAACTCTCACTATTAGGAAGTTTTTCCTTATGTCAGATTTAAATCTGCTACTCTACCATTTTCACTCATTGCCCCTAATTCTGCCTCTGGGGTCAAGTATAACAAATATATAATAGTTAACATTTATATGGTGCTTTAAGGTTTGCAAAGTGCTTTATCTCTCTCTGTGTCTCTGTCTGTTTGTCTGTCTCTCACTCTCTCTTATTATTAAATTTCCACAGCAACCCTTTGAGATTTGGAGTTGCTATTATCCCCATTTAAAAGATTAGGAAACAGGTGGAGAGGAGGTAAGTGACTTTCCCAGGGTCCTGTGATTAGTAAATATCTGAGGCAGGATTTGAATTCTGGTACTCCTGACTCCAGGTACAGAGCATTATCCACTGTGCCACCCAGCTGCCTAATAAATGCTTCCTTCCATTCATCCTTCCTCCTCCCTCCCTCCGTCCTTTCTTTCCTTCCTTCCTTCCTTCTTTCCTCCCTTTCTCTTTTCTGTCCTTCCTTCTTTCTTTCTTCCTTCATTCCTTTTTTCCTTCTTTCCTGTTTGAAGACAGTTATCATGTCCCACTTCCCTAAGTCTTCTTTTCTTTTTGCTTATCATCCCCACTTCAGATCACACATGATCTGAGTTTGCACTTGAACTCAAGTTCTCTTTTTCTAAGCCTGGTGTTCTTTCCACTGTATCATAAAAGAAGAAAACTCTCCTTTTGAGGGCCTTGGATATATTTTTGATTTCTGACCAAAATTACTATGAATATAGATATTTCCTCCAATAGCTTGGCTGGTGTCACCTTTCTCTGGTCCTAGAAATTCTGTCTTCTCTTCATCTCCTCTGCCCAGATTTTGACCAATGCTCTCTAAAGACTGTCTTTTATCCCTCCACTTTTAATGAATCATAGTAGATTCCCCAGACTCCCCATCTTTTTCTTCTCTGCCTTTGATTTTTTAACAAACATGCTTTGGTTCTATGCAAATCTGCTCATAGAATGACACTACCCACCTTGACCCTACTGGGGCAACTGGCCTATCATATTTCTCTTCAAGTATCAAAACTCTAATGCTAGAATGGATTTCAGACATCATCTGGTCCAACTCCCTCATTTTTCAGATGACAAAACTGAGGCCAAAGAAGTAACCTTGTACTCCCTACACCTGTGCAAGCTTCTTAATGATAGAGACTATTTATATATGTATTCCTAGTGCCTGACACATAGCAGGCATTTAATAAATACTGAGTGATTGATTGCTCAAGGTCACACACCACATTCAGGGACTCACAACAAATATGTATCACCAGTTTTTTCTGTTTCATTCTCTTCCACCATCCTTAGGGACTCTAGAAGTCATACTGATGACTGATATTATGACCTCTCAGCTCCTAAGCTTCTTCAACAACCCAGACTTTCTTTTTCATCTCATTTCAGCCCCACACTCACATGGGTCAGTCACTATTAGACCACATCAATTCCTGGAATTAATTAAACCAACTCCAAGAGATGCTCATCAAAAGCCTGGGGATCTCCCCCTTTTCTCTCCATTCCCCTCACTTCCCCAGGCATTGACAATGATTAAGAGGAGAATTCAGGAAAGAGGGAGAACACTTAATTCTCCCCTGGGCAAGGGGGAGAATTAAGACCATCCAGCTCACCACTGGGGCAAGGGACATTGTAATGTTATTGTTAAGTTTTGTATGACAGCATAAGACCCAGGTGGGAATAAAAGTGAGGAGGGCTTATATTCACTTTACAGCTGGGGTGGTGTTTGTCAAGGACAATCATGTAGGTTCATTGAGTCAGGTGAATTTCATTTTGTGAGTAGGTGGTGAGTGAATATAGTTCTATAAGGATGTGTTTGGAAGGGTCCAAATGTCCTTTCTGGAAAAGGAAATGGCAAACCACTCCAGTATCTTTGCCAAGAAAACCCCAAATGGGGTCATGAAGAGTCAGACATGACTGAACAACAAAGAGTCCTTTCAGAATAAGAATCTGAGGCCTTCTTTGGACCTCCATCTAGCACAGCATCCTCATGTTCACCATTTCAGGAAAGGTGACAGACATCACACCAGGAAAAGCAGAAAAACAGTCATGAAAAAGAGTAAATCAGATCCCAAGCAACCCTAGCTCTTGCTAAAGGCTATGTGTCTCACCTGATGAGTTCCCTTCTCTCTCTCTTCTCCCTCCCCCAGGATCTGTAAATTTGAATCAGCTGGTTTTCCTTAAGTGAAATAAAGTACCAGGAGTATTTTGAAAGAAATCCTTGGTGTACTCACCATATGCTACATCAGTGTTGGGGAGCAGATGCTGACTGTCTTCATACCTCCCAATAGCAACAGTCTGGCTGTCTTGAATTTCCATAGCACTTGCTTCTTCTACCAAAAAAAAGCAAATGGAAAGAAACAAGTGACAATGTATACAACCTTCTGTCTACAGCAAGGGATTCTGAAATAGTTGGCTGAAAAGTTGAGGTGGAAGGCTTTTCTTTGGCTCCCTGTGAACATAAGAACTCTTCCCCTTTAGAACTGTCCTTCAGTTCAGTTTCTTATAAGCCTTCAGGGGTGGGAAACCTGCGGCCTTGAGGCCACATGTGGCCCTCTAGGTCCTCAAGTGCGGCCCTTTGACTGAATCCAAACTTCATAGAACAAATCCCCTTAATAAAAGGATTTATTCTGTAAGACTTGGACTTAGTCAAAAGGTCGCACTCGAGGACCTAGAAGGCCACATATAGCCTTGGTTCCCCCACCCCTGGTTGCCTATGCAAGGGTTGTTACTTTGGGGGATGGATAAAGATATTTAATTTTAAAATGCTTAAAATTCCAAGATGGAAGATATTTAAAAGCACCTGCTCGGGAGAATGAAGAGGGGAATGCTGTGGGTAATAAAACATGAGCCCTACTGTGTGTCTTGACTATCTGTTTCTCCTTTCCCTCTATCCACCTTTTGGGCACAACTCACTGGCCATGCCCAGCGGAGAAAAGGAATGGAGAGGGAATGCTGGAATTTTCCCTCTGCCTCAGCTTGGCAGCAGCCTAAGAAAAGGTGAGACTGCTTAGGGCTTGGGTCATAGCCACTGCTTACGCAGTCACTCCTAGCCTTGGGGATCCAGAGCTTTAGGAGCCCCAAGCGGCCCATCCCTGAATCATATCATTTATAGAGAGCTTTAAGGCCTATAAAACACTTTATACGCATCATCTCATACCGTCATCTCCATAACAACCCTCTAAGGTAGGTATTATTATCACTTCTGTTTTACAGATGTGGAAACTGAGGTGCAGAAGGAAGACTGGCTCAGGGTCTCACAGCTATTTGAAGCAGGATTTAAATTGAAGGTACTCTGATGCCAAATCTAGTGTGTTTGCCTCACACAATAAAGAGAGCCCTCTACCAACTGATTCAAGATGTCCTGCTGGTTCAGGAAGGGAGTATGAGAAAGGCCCCATCAAACACTGCATTGATGAAACTCTTTTGCTGGATACTTCCTGTAAGCTTAGATGGTTGAGCTGAAGTAGGCATCATGGGTAAGTGAATCCTTTGACAGATATCTGATGGTTGCTAAGGGATGCAGCACACAGAGCGCTGGGCCCAGAGTCCAGAAGATCTGAGTTCAACTTCAGCCTCAGATACTTACTAGCTGTGTGACCCTGGGCAAGTCACTTAACCTCTGTCTACCTGTTTCCTCATCTGTAAAATGGAGATAATAACAGCACCTACCTCCTGGGATTGTTGTAAGGATCAAAAGAGATAATAATTGTATAGCGCTTAGCATAGTGCCTAGCACGTAGTAAGTACTATTTAAATATTAGTTATTATTATAATCTATAAAATGGGGATAATAACAGCACCCATCTCCCTCCAAGGTTGTTGTGAAGTTCAAATGAGATAATATTCGTTAAGTGTTTTGCAAACCTTAAGGCTCTACAAAAATATTAGCTACTACCTCAGTCTTATCAGCAGTATTTCTTTATGTGATGAAGAGGAGTTATACCATTTGCTGATGCTGATGAATCCTTTGGCTCTGCTAATACCATTAATACTGCAGTCTTCATTATACTCTCTGCTTGGCAGTGGAGACTAAGAGGGTTGCATATTTTATAGCTCACAAAGGGCAAAGGGGATCTTTTTGAAATTTTGTTAGGAGACTCCACATTTCTGTTTGCATCCATAACTTGTAGGCTGGGGTTACCAACCAGATCCTTGGTTACCACAAGGAATAATAGCAAGCACCAAGTCAGTTTTCTCATCTGTAAAATGGGACCAAAGGTGGTGGGGATCAGGCTACACTCCATCTAAGGTCCCTTCCATCTCTACAGTTGATTCCACAATTATATGGTTTTGGATCCACCCTTTCTCATTCACAGAGGGGGTGGACAAACCGTATGTAGTTTGTGCGGAGTGCTCACTGAAATGATCTCCTTAACTTCATGCCACCTTTGCTCCACCCCAAAGAAAAATTAATGCAAAGGACTAGAAAGTACTTGATGACTACAGATGAAAAACCTGTGTCCTAAAGAAGACAGTTCAAACAAAGAGAAATCACTAGAATGGCTATTATTATGTTGTATATAATACCTTTTATATCCTTCCTCCCTTATTCCTACTTTTAAGAGACTCTGCCTTGCTAAGTGATAGGCAGCAATGACCATTAACTTTTATCTGTTTCCAGTGTTTCCTTCCCCCTGCTCCCCATCTCGCCACCTACGCCTTTGAATAATGTGGTGGGGTGTGGAATGACCCCCCACTCCCACCCCAGGTTTGTAGCTCACATCTACTAGCTGCTCCTGAAGTGGTTTCCATGGGCTCCAGAGCTCCCTGCAGAGCTCATTACCACCCTGACCCCCTCTCCTCCCTTCTCTTCCTGATAGAGATCTCAGCTCCTCTTCCCCCAAGGAAGAAGTGTCAATGAGGTGCAAACCTATGGATGGTGACACTGTTTTTTGGTCAGGGCTCAGCTCCTAGGCCCAGGCCATGAACTAGGATCTACCAACACAATTTTGGTGAGAAAAAAAATTGGGAAAAATCTGAAAGGGATCTGCTCCCTGGGAAAAAGGTCAGTTCCAAGTCCCTGGGAACATTATGGCACCAGCCTAAATGAATCCTAATACGAGACCACCATCTCTACAACTATTTTTCTCTCACGTATCTCACTTAGCCACCTGATGTACATATCTAGTTTCAAGCTAGGGATCCTTCTTTCAGAAAACCACCCTAGCTCAGTATATATTCAGAGGTATGGTTCTGTGTGTGTTTCCAACTCAGAACTAAAAATGTGTTGAACTTTTTATGAGGCAGCTAAGTAACACTCTGGATGGGCCTGGAGTTATAAGACCTGTGTTCAAATTTGGTCTCAGATGCTTAATAGGATTACAATAGAAACCAGTTATACTAAAATACAGTTATCAAAATATAAAGGAAAAAAAGAAAAAAAAAAGAAGTTCACAGACCCCAGATTAAGAACCTCTGGATGAGATCATCTCTTATGGCTCTTCTAGCTCTCAGTCCTATGACTTGAGTCTCTCTTACTTGTTTAGATCATGAGGTCACACAGTTCTACAGCTGGAAGGGACCCCAGAGCCCATCTAATCTGCTGCCCTGATCATTTTGCAGATGAAGAAACTGAAGGTCAGGTGATTTGCTGGAGGTCTCATAAGGAACAAAAATGAGAAGTGGAATCTGAAGCCAGAGCCAAAGCTTTTTCCCTTGTACCTCAATACCTAACTGCATCTGGGTTCATCTCCAGTCATCCTGATTTATGTCTTGCCATGGGACTCAGATGACACTGGATGAGAGAGGGAGGCTGATGACTTTGCACAGCTCTGCCTCACTAAGATCCAATTCACTGGCAAGTCATGACATCACCCTCCTGATGTCATTGGTCCTTTGTGAGAACAAAGGACAGACAACAACAACCTCCCACTGAATGAGATCAATGTGACCAAGATGCTGGAGTGTTGGGTTTGGCATGGGCAAGCCCTGGGCTATCTCATTTGAACCTCACTGACAGCTGATTAGATATAGGTGTGTCATGGGAGGGAGGAAAACTAAGGAAGATACCAAAGGGAACTTAGGAGACCAGAAAGATGATGACACTTAAATGAAAGACAGAGCTTTGGAGAGACTCCTGGAAGTCTAAAATGGCACTTTATCCTTCACTTATGTGGAATGACCTCCCTTTAAAAATGACATATATAAGAAGTTTTACTCATTTTACCAATGTTTGGGCTAAACCCCAGAGTATTTCTGGGGGAAAGTTGCCAGACCCTGATATATTAATGACTTAAATAAGGAACCTGTAGACAGAGAGATGGCTTTTTATTAGCCTCCTCCACTGGCTAAAGATTCAGTCTTGTCTGAAGTAATCAGTTTCTCCCTCTGGTTAGCTGCACAGGTTCAGAAAGGTTTAACTACAATAGAGTTCCCTGAGGTCAAAGGGGTAGCACTTTATATTATATTATATTATCTATTATATTATATTATATTACTTTATAGTATATATTTATATTATGTTATATTATAATCTATTACATCATATTACTTTATAGTATATATTACATTATATCACATTATGTTATATATTACTTTATATTATATTATTATATAATATTACTTCATCATGTTATATAATATTACACTATGTAATTATATTACAATGCTATAACTCTTTGCCAGGTAACAGAGAATTTTGGGGCAACAGAGCTATATATAAGCTAACTTTATAAAACTTTTTTCAAGGCAAAAGAGTCATAGCATCATAAATCTAGAACGGGAAGAGATCTCAGAGGACATCTAGTCCTGCCTCATCTTTTTCAAATTTTTTTGCAAGTGTGAAAACTGAGACCTAGGGACATGAAGTGAGTCACCTAAGATAAAGGGGTAGTCAGCACCAGAGGTAGGATTTGCACCCAACTCCCCTGACTCCAAAATAATAATAGCTAACATTTATATAGTGCTTACTATGTGCCAGGCACTGTGTTAAGCACCTTGCAATTATTATCTCATTTTATCCTAGCAACAACCCTGGCAAATAGTTGTTATTATTATCCCCATTTACAGATGAGGAAAGTGAGGCAGGTGGAAGTTAAGTGACTTGCCTAGAGTCGCACAGCTAGTAAGTGTCTGAGGTCACATTTGAACTCGTGTCTTCCTCACTCCAGGGCTAGTGCTGTGGGCACTATGGCACCATCTAGCTGCTCCAAACTCAGTGCTTTTTCTACTGGACCACCTAAGAAGTTGGAATAATGAGTGATGGAGTAATTACATGTGTAGTCTATATAAACACACGTACGCAGAGTAAACACCATTGGAACTGCTCATAGACAAAAGATTAGCACTTGCCTGCTAATGGATAGTGCTGCTTACATATTTTTCTTACCTTTATTTTCAAGGTTTTCAGTTCTCCCCATGATCTCATTTTCCGTGACCTGCAAATTCTGAATCAGGAAATAGGTGGTCATTTTCCCTTTCCCTTTCACTTCAATTTCACCCCTCTCAACGATCTCAAACCCACGATTTTCCAGAGCACTGTAAAAAATAGAGAAGTCCATCATACATCAAAGCCATCAGATATGCAGATTGGGCAGTGGCACAAGTGTGAAGGATTGTCAGGCAGGAGATGCCTTGGAATCCGTGGCGTCTGCCAAATTACACATCTCTGATAATGAACGGCCCAATGGAGAGGTGGAGAGAGGGCAGGAATCTCTTCCTTGGGAACAACCCTGGTCACAGCACAGAGGGATGGAGAAGGGTACTACAGGTGGCTTCCTACTAATCCTCTCTTCCTGCCCACTTCCTGCCTCAAAGCTGGATCCTTATTTTAAATAATGCCCCCTCTACTTAAAGAGAAATCACCGATGCCACACGTGAGGGCATGAAATCATGTCTGGTCATAACATTACTACATCTGGTTATGCTGACGTCAGAACTCACTTGATGCTTTCAAATCTCTCCATCCCTTTCCTCTGCCTTATCTGAGTTTGAAGTAGATAACGAAACGCGTCAGATATAATGTTGCTGGCACCAAGAAACATACAGTTACAAGATAAGGACAGAGTATGTTATCTTCTTTACAATTCTATAAACTCCTTGAGGACAGGGACTGTGCTTTACTCAGATTTATTGGAAGAATGAAGGAAGGGATGAATGGCTACCTGTATGCAGTGGGGCTGAGGTGTACTTTGTTGGGAAGCCCATGGCTCTCCATCCTGGAAGCTGTGTTCACTGTATCTCCAAATAAACAGTATCGGGGCATCTTGTCACCCACAACTCCAGCCAAAACTGGTCCTGTGTGGATCCCTACCCTGATCTAGAAAGAGAAGAATCTATTTAATCACAAATTACCTAGTATTAGACACTTACACTTTGTGAATTAGTTTTTGTCCCCACTATGAGATTATAAACTTACCGAGGACAAATAATTTGTTTCATATACCTTCATAACCGCCACAGCACTTTGCACAATGACTGATATGTCAAAAGCATTCAGTAAAGGCATAACAGAGGTGCTTAATAATGTTTATTGACTGATTGGATAATCACTGAAAAATCAGGAATTCTCTGTAGGGGAGAACTTAGCGGCCTGCCTACTTCCCCAAGATGACATTTACATGTAGAATGTAAACTCCTTGGGGGCAGGCACTGTTTTTCTTTCATATTTGTATTCTCGGCATGTAGTATAGTAAATATCACATAGTAGGTGCTTAATAAATACTTGATGTATTAACTTGAGAGCATCTGAATTTTCTTCTTTCCTCTTTTGATTCTTCCCTCCTTTTGTTCTTTCCTTTCTTTGACACTACCACTTGAAGGCAAAGATTTTAAAGAGAATACCAGGTTTAGGAAGTGAGCATCTAGTTAAGAAGTTGGTAACAAAAACAGAATTTGGATTTTTGGTTCATAGCTTAAAATACAGGAATGGCAGGCTCCTGGCCAGAAACGTATGGCCTCAAAAGGACTGGAAAGAATGTCTTTGTGTCAGGTCTTGCAAAGCTAATAAAAATGCTTTAAACTGAGAAGGAAGAGGAAGAGTGAAAAAACTATCTCTCTATCCATGAATCTAAATGCCATAGAGAGTAGCTACAAAGTAGGTAGAAGAATATCAATATAGATGCTTAAAAATTCCCTCGAATCCTAGGGAGGAATAATCAATCAAACCAATGGTACAGACATCTATATACAAAGTATTAGTAACAAACAAGATGCCTCATTTAAGGAAACATATAATTTCACTGGAATCACTGAGACTTGGTTGGATGAACCTGAGATTGAATTATGACTGGATTGAGGAAAATTATATCATACTATATTATTTAATAACCAATACTACTCTGTGATCCATCTTTTCCCTCATTTTTCTCAGGCCCCACTTCTGAAGGGCAAGCAGTTTCTGAAGGGTGTGATCCAGCAATGTGATCACTCCCAGTGCCCAAGTTATCTGCTCCTTGAGAAAGTGGGACCCTGGATTCTGTTTACCCCATAAACAGAAGCCAGCTTGAGGTAAGCCTTCCCAAACACTAGCTGTGTAACCTTGGGCAAGTCCCTTATCCCTGTTTGCCTTAGTCTTCTCATCTATAAAACAAGCTGGAGAAGGAAATAGCAAATCACTCCAATATCTTTGCCAAGAAATTCCCAAATAGGGTCACAAAGAGTTGGACATAACCAAAACATGACTGAAATATTCATATAGTATCATTCATTTGACCATTCACCAACTGACAGGTGCCATTTTGTTTCCATTTCTTTGCTACAACAAAAAGTGCTTGCTTGTGTGTGTGTGTGTGTGTGTGTGTGTGTGTGTGTGTGTGTGTGTGTACATATGGCTCCTTTTCCTCTTTGATCCCTTTGGGATATAAGCTTAGTGTTAGTAGTATTGCTAGGGTTTTCAATTTAGTGACTTAGGGGGTATAATTCTAAATTGCTTTCCAGAATAATTTTCCCATTCTACCTTTCCAGACTTATTACAAGGCACTGACTTCTATGCATTGTACAATCCAGTAATACTGACCTTTTTACTCTTTCTCAAATATGCTTCTACATCTTCATCCTTTGTACTGGTTGACTTCCATGCTTAGAATGTTCTGTCCCCTCATCTCCACCTCTTAAAATCCCTGGTCTCTTTCAAACATCACTTTTTATATGAAAAGCTTGCATGAAAGCTTTCTGATCACACACCCAGCTACCAGTGCCTTCCATGCTTCCCAAGATTACCTAGTATCTTCTTTGTAACTTGTATTTGCCTTTCATATGTGTTTTGTGTATAGCAGCATATTTGTATGTGACCATCCCTTTTAGACTGTAAGTGCCTTAAGAATAGAATTGACAGGAGAAGCATGGGCTACCAGCAGAGGCATTCAGTTCCTCTTCAATTCTAGTAGTCTGGATCCTTTTCTAGCTATGGATTGGATTAAACTGACTCTGCAGTGTCGTCCATTACTGACATTCTGCAATGTTTTGTATTGTGTATCAATACACACTATTCACATTAATGTCTCTGTTTCCAAATGGCTAAAGGGAAAATTTGCTTGCCCATTTTTCTATTCTGTTCTTAGAATTGAGGTTCCAATTCTCTCTTTCTCTCTCTCTCCTCCCTTTGTCCCTCTCTCTCTTCTTCCCCCTCTCTCTGTCTCCCTCCTTTGCCTGCCTCTCCCTTTCTCCTTCCCTCTTTCTCCCCACCCCCTTCTCTGACTCTGTGTCTCTGTCTCTCCCTCTTTCTCTCTCCATATTGTGCACGGCAGTTTACATAATCCATTGTTTCTTTTCTTTCCCACTTATTGATATTATTTTCCATCTCTGTAGAGCTTTTCTATCTTCCATCCTTTATTTTAGACCTCATCTTCACAAGCTGACACCAGTCTTGCTTTTTTTAGTCCTTTTACCCTATCTGGTTTTTCGTACTTGCTTCTTTTCTTTTTCTTCTTCCTAACATTATGTTTCCCCCTCAGTATTACCTTATTTATTACCTTATGTATGTATTTATATTTGTACATAGGAACATCGTAGGATCAGAGTTGGAAGGTATTTTAAAAGCCAGCCCTTACTTTTATAGATGAAGAAGCTAAAACTCAGAGGTCATGTGACTTGCCCAAGGTCACACAGCCAGTACATGTCAGAGGCAGGGTTCAAGATGCTTGCAGCATCTGCTCTACTACATCAAGCACATGTTGTCTCCCCAAAGGAAATGTAAGCTTCTTGAGGACATGGACTGTTTCTCTTTTGTCTTTGAATCTTTAGCACCTAGCACAGTGCCTGGCCTATAGTAGGTACTTAATAAATGCTTGCTGAGTAATTGATTCCATTTACATATCTGCACTCGTTCGACTATTTTTCTTCTAGAATCTCGAGCTCTGATTTCAGCTCTATTTATCTATCCTTGTCTTTCCCTCAAATTGCCCCTGACCTCTGTGTTTCATTTCAACTAAGATTATTTTGTCTATAGCCACAAAAAATCCTCCGCCAAGTACACTCTGGTGTACTGGTGATTCTGTACTCTCGGAAGTTGTGCCAGCAGAACTCAAACCCTGGTAGATTCAGGGATTTAGAGCTGAAATGAACCTTAGAGGTCAACGAGTCTAACCCCCTCAAATTACAGATGAGGAAACTGGGTCCCGGAGAAGGTAACTTATTTGCTCAGAGCCATACAAATAGTATGCCTGAGAGAGAGATTTGAATATCTTCCATTTAGGACAGGAAACACAATGATTGAGTTCTATAGCCATGCTCAGTCCCCAAAAACCTTCGGTGGTCTCTATTCTTGCTCTAGAATCTATTGTGCTTTCTTACTGTCTTACTGTCTCTGGCCCCTTTGGCTGCTGCCAGCTTCCTGTGTCAGGCCAGAACTGAGGGTTATAGATCTTGATCTGTGACAGACTTCAGAGGTCATTTAGTCCAACTGCATCACTTTACAGGTGTGGAAACTGAGGCCCAGAATGGTGAAGAAACTCGTTGAATGTAACATGTATAGTAAGTAGCAGAACTGCAGATTGAACTCAGGTCCTGCAACTCCAAGTTTGGTGCTCTCTCCATTGGACCACACTGCTTCCTGAGCTATGCACATCCTCCACAAATGGGAAATATTGATTTATTTTATTTTTTTTAGTAAATATGATCAACTCATGAATAAAATAAAGTAAACTTATGCTCTAAAACATGAAATAGAAAGGACATGGCTCATAGTGTGGTGGATAGAGTCAGAAAGGCCTGGCTTCTTGATACTAGCCATGTAACCATGGACAAGCAATTTTACCTCTCTGGGCCTCAATTTCCTCATCTGCAAAATGAAAGGATTAGACTAAATGACCCCTAAGGTCCTTTCTAGTTCTAAATCTATGATCCTATGAGAGATTAGTCCTACATATCTCCAAATAAGAAAAAAGAACAGAGCTCTTCGATTCTGCCCTTGTTTACAGGAAATAGGATTCTTGGAGTGAAGTTATACAGAGATCCAAATATTCTCCAAACTCTTCCAAGAACCTAATTTAAGTTGTGATGAATTTGGGCCAGCAACCTGGTAATTTCTCTGTTATTTAGGAGTGTGCTCCAAAGAGAGGGGTAGTCTGAACAAATCACACCATTTCAAGACGTGCCTGCGCACCAACTAAGAAAATGCAATGCTGTCATGGAATGCTTCCCATCGTGCTGAGCACTCATCTGCTTGGTACCTGGATGGGCTCTCCGGTGACAGGATTCATCACTTCTCTTGCAGAAATTCTCATCCCCAGGGCAAAATTAGCAACTCTCTGAGCATGGTTTTCCACAGGCACTGGCACCCCACCAACCACCATGTATGCATCACCTATCGTCTCCACCTGGGAGGGAAAAGGGAACCTGGTCAACTTCTGTTTTTCACAAAAGATAGCTCACGTATTTCACCATTTTCCCTTGTATTGGTACCAAGGACCAAGTGACAATTTGTAACTCTTTGCTGAAGGGAAGGTGCAAAGGATATGGAGAGCCAACAAGGCCATTCTGCCTTTCACCGGGAACAAATCTTGGAGAAAATGAATTTCCTGGTGTGGCCATATGGTGCTCTACATTGAATAGCAAATTATGGGGAGTGGACCTTCTGCTAAACTGGAGGAGGAAGAGAACGCTCTCCGAGATTAAAGTGCTCTCTAATAGGAGGCTCTTTAACTCTTCCAAGGCACAAGCGTTCCATTTGAGTAATGTGCTTTTCTTAGGTCTCCAAAAGGGGATCCTGACCGAGAGTCATAACTAATCATTTTAGTACCCAGTGAAAACAATAATAAATAGCCCTCCAAATCAACTTTGTAATTCATGATGTAGAAAAACGCATGAAATATATAAGGTCATTTCAGTTATTAAGGATGGGGAATTGGGTGTTATAGTGATTCATAAATATTATGAATAATGCTGGTGATTGGTAGGTTCCTGTTTTAACAAATTATTTTTACCAACTAGATGCTAAGCTCCTAGTTAGCAACTAAATAATTTGAAACAAGCACGTGTGTTAATTTTTTGTGTCCTCTAAATTTTGGCACACTTAGGCAAAGCCCTGGTTGTGTTGACCTAGTTATGATTCTGTTGATAGAGTGAGATATCCTCATCCAATTCTTTAAAAAAAGGGGAAGAGAAGGAAACAGAGGTGAAGGAAAAAACAAAAAAAAGAGAATAAGGGCTGACCAAGGGAAACTCATAGTAAACTATATACATTATACATTGAAAATGAATTTTATGGAATTTCAAAATCTACTATTTGGTATGTAAAATCTTACTTTGTAGACATCATGGACATTGGTTAACCGGTCAAATTTTGAGTACATTGAGTTCAACATGTTCACTATTTGGATAGGTTCACAGGCAGCACATATGTTGGTAAATGTCACCACATCACTGAAAAGAATGGTGCATGTTTTAAATTCTCCTGCAACAGAAATTGGATATTAGGTATCAATGTCTGAATAGTAGTCCAATGGTTAAATATTCCAGTATCGAGGCATTAGTTAAATTCTCTTGGAATACAATTCTTTTTAACAAAGTCTACTTGGAATGAGAACTGGATGGGAGAATATTATTTTCTTCAGTACTTGATCAAGCATTAGTGGTTTCATGAGGGCAGAGGAGAGTAGAAGGAGAATGAGGAAGAAGAAAATGATGAAGAGGAAGAAACAGGCATTTATTAAGTGCCTACTGTGTGCCAGGCACTGTGCCAAGCACTTTACAAATATTATCTCATTACTTCAACCACAGGAGATAAGTGCTATTGTTATCCCCATTTTATGGTTGAGGAAACTGGGGGAAACAGGTTAAGTGATTTGCCCAGGGTCACATAGCTAATGTGACTAATAGCTAATAAGTATCTGAGGTTAGATTTAAACTCAGGTCTTCTTAATTCCAGGCCTAGCACTCTTTTCTCTGTACCACATAGCTGCCTAGGAGGAAAAAAGGAGCTGAAAGTAGAAGAGTGTGGGGAAGGGAAGAAGAAGGAGGAAGCAAATGAAGAAGTAGTAATGGCGACACTGGTGATGACTTAGGTGTGTGGGACAGTGCTTAGGCTTGGCTGAAGGGAGAGCTGCTCTCCAGAGGGTCACATACTCCAGTCACCTGGGGACAAGGATAGTGCAGCACAGGCCATATTTTGAAACAGAGGATCATGCTAAGAATGCAGGATGGCTCCCCAAACAGGTTGTAGGGTCATGTAGCCTCTGCCTGCTTTGCCCAAAGGGCAGAAAGAAAGGAAGTACTTTCAAGAGCATTGAGAAAAGAATCTCTAAGTATTAATATATCCCTGTGCCCATTATGTTAAAAGTACCTCTAATAATAAAGTTTCTAACAGCTAACTATGTCAGTGGAATACATCAGCAGCCACAGAAATATTACTGCATGTTTTACTTGTCAATACCATTGTTCCCAAAAGTTTTCCCTTATTGAGCTGACATTAACAAACTCTTATGTGTATAGTATAGTCTTTGACCCTTTCAAGTCAGGAAGGTACTATTTAATGTCCAGATATGTTTATTAATTCTCTATATATTTGTTTATTAGATTTCTATTGATCATTCCCTTCAAAGATGCAGTAGGAAACAGACCTGTGATTTCATCAATATAGCGAACTAGAGAAGGAAACTCTCTCTACCAATGCAACTTATAGTCTTAGAGAGTTGTTTAGACACTAGAGCACAGAGAATTTGAGGGACTTGCCCAGGGTTACATAGCCCATATATCAAGTGGCACTTGGAGGCAGGTCTTCCTGGCCCTGAGTCTGGCTCTCTGTCCACTGCCTCTCACATCTCTCCAAAGGTCTCAACTCAATGTCTCCCAGGGCCTGAAAGAGAATGAACCTCTGAGAGAACCACCTTAAATATTGACCTAAAAACCCAGTTTTCTATGTAAATATTGGGGTTTTTTAATGGTTTGTTTTAGAAAAGCTACTGGCCTTTTTAGAAACATTTCTTTTCTAATTTGAGATTTTTGTAACTGTGAGGGGCAAGTGATAAGAGTTAATAGAGTCATAAATCTACGGTAGGAAGGGAGGCTATCCTCAGAGGTCATCTATACTCCAACCCTTCTTTTTTACAGAAAAAGAAGCTGAGAGGGGGCATACAAATATATCTATCTGATCCCTTAAATATTGTTAGTTAAAGGATACAATTTTCAGGTTCGAGGTAAGACTCTAGGAAGAAAATGACATGAGAGGAGACTGCCAGCTCCTCTTAGGTCATTTTCTTCCTAGAGTCTTATTCTCTTTTCAGCAATCTGAAGTTGGGTTAATCAAGGATTAACATCATTCATCTCTCAAAGCTGGAGGCCAGAAGTAATCAAAGGGATGGTAGAGCCTGAAGAGGCTGAGACTTAAAGAAACAGCCAAGACTGAAGAGATTCTTCTCTCTCTTCTCTCCAACTCTATGCTATGCCATGTAGGCATGGGGTATTGATCTCCACCAATGAGGAAAGAGTCTCATACCAATGAGCTTTAGGACTTGGGTTACACTACCATGAACACTTCTGATTCAGTTCAATTCAGCAGATGTCAAATACCTTGTATTACATTATTATTATTATTCAATTTCCTCATAGTATATTTATTTTTATAATGCCCAACTCTAAATTGATGACCTTATGTTATTATACCTCTCCATTAGACTGTAAACTCCCTGAAGGCAGAGATCTTTTGTTTATGTCTTTTTATGTCTCCCAAAACAAACAATCCATTCTCCCAGAAAGCTCACAGTCTAACGATAGGATACAACACAGGATCACAGATTTAGGGCTGATCGTTATGCATTCATTAATTAAATACAAGGGAAATTGAGGAGAGAGAGAGCAATAACAACTGGTGAATCAGGGTAAGCTTCATGGAAGATGGGGAACCTGACTGAATAGCACTTAAAGGATACCTCATCGGAAAAGCAAAGATGAGAGGGGAGTGCCTTTCAGTCATAGACCATGGCAACACAGTAATGGAGCTCACCCTTAGAGATACTTTGTGACTTTAATCTCCCTTCTTCTGTTTCTGCTTCTGGCTAGCAGGATGTACTTCTCAGTTTCTGGATTTTGCCATCAGGTCTGAGCTCCCTTCTCCCTCTAGAAGTTTCCTCAATTTGGGGGGCTTTTTCACCCTAGAATATCCTTCTACTGTGCCATCTTCCTTCTCCCAGTAGTGACTTCCTTTTAGGGTCTCGATTTTATGGACCAGCCTGTCTGCTGATTCTTCACACTTCACCACCATGCTCTGAAGATGGCTTCTCTCCACTCCCCCTTCCAATTTTCAGCTCCCCCTTGTGTTGTCTTTCCCAGAATGCAATGTAATTCCCTTAGAATGTAAGCTTTCTGAGGATTGGAATTGTTTTTCCTTTAGTTTGTATTTGTATCTTCTTTCCTCCCTTGTCCCCCTCTACTTAGCACGGTGCCTGGTGCACAGTAAATGCTTAATAAATGCTTGTTGCTTGCCTGTCTGCCTACCACATGGAAATAAAAGGAAGTTCTGAGAGACAAATGCCTGAAAATAGAGGTAGTTTCTTGCTTTCTCCCCTGAAGATCTCTCTTTACTGCCTTAAGGAGTGAAGGGCTAATATATAGTGCCTCTTGGAAAGTAAATATAGCTATGAAAGCTTTAACTCCTAGTGATTGTAAATGAGATTATGGACTCCTTAAGGTCAGGGACCAGGTCTGAATATTTCCTTATCTTGCACAGTATTTAGCAAAATGCCTTGCAAATACATTACAAACATTATAAAGGTAGGACACAATTACATACATTATATTTACATTATAAAGGTAACATACAATCAGAGAGGGCAGGGATTGTGTCTTACCTTTGTGAATCCTTGCATACACTGGAGATTTAATGAATTTAATGAATGTTTGTTAAATGAATGAATGAATGGTTTATGCTCAATTAATATTTAATTAATTTGTTGACTGGAGCAAAACTAGAGTAATCACATAGGATTTTGACATCAAATTAAGTAGGTGAGGAGAGATAAAAATGGAAAAGTTTCCTTAAGAATCATAGTTATAAATTGGAACAAACTCTAGAGTTTTATCTAATCTGATCTCTTCAATTTACAGGTGAGGAAACTGAAGCCCAGAGAAGTTAAATGACCTACCCATGGTCATGAAGAATTTAGTGGCACAGCCAGGATTCAAAACCCAGGTCCTCTAGATCCAAATTCAAAGTTGTTTCCACTAGGAAACATTGTCTTGAAAAGAATAAAAGTTTAGTGAGAAAAGACTCTACCTTGTAATTTACTTCAGTAAAACTTATTCTGTTAAAGTATCATTTTGAATACTCTGTGTTTGTAGTTTAGTGATATGAGAGGCAGTGTGGTACAATGTAAAGAACAGGGAATATGGAGACAAAAGATCTGGATTTAAATTCTGAATGTTGTCGTCCCTACCTCCATGAGTTCAGGTACACTCTGGACCTTGGTTTCCCCATTTGTAAAACGAGAAGATTGAACTAGATGATCTTTAAAATCCCCTTCAGCTTAAAATCCTATCACAATATTAATCTTATTCAGCTATTTTAATAAGGAGGCCCATGACTGGAGGGAAAAAAAGAGAAAAGACTGGGCAATCATCCTAATTCCTTTCTCATAGTTACTCACGTTGAAATCTGAATGCTTGAGTCATGAGGCCATAAATAAAGCACTGTGCTCACTTGGTGGTAGTACCCTCATTGCAGTTATTTCCAAGGGAAATAAATACTTGAAGGTTAAAAGTGAGATTGTGACAAATACCAAAGGCCTTCACCATCCAGGAATAACTTGTTCACCCAGAAAGACTCTCTGAGTTAAATTTGGAGCTATTATGTCATCTTCTATTCAACAAAGAAGGAAACTGAAACATCAATATGGTGCCACTCATGGCCAGTCAGTGATAGAGTAAGCTTCCAATTCTAACCCCAAGTTCCTGCATGAGATGAATCAAATTCAGTACCTGCTGCTACCTTTTTGCCTTCTTTCAGCTGGTTTGCTATATGCTCAGGAAGCATTGCGTACAACAATGTTTCCGTTTTCTTCTTTTCTATAGCTAAATGTTTGGAGAGAATCCGGAGCTCTTCCTTCTTTCTCTCCAGCTGGTTAGACAATTCGATTTCGGCCAATCTCTGCTGGTTCAGGAGTATAAGATCCCTGGTGGTATCATGTCTGGCAATGTCAGAGATGTGCATGTTCCACTCCTCTAACTCTTGGAGGCTTCGGAGTTTGGGGGAGCAAAGATATATCATGCATTGCAGGGACTCCATCCAGATCATCTGCCCTTTGAAAACAGAACAGAAAGAAGCAATAATGTACTAAATGCCCACTACTGTTGGGAGATGAGGAGTACCACAGAGGTGAGCTTTCCAGGCAACTGACCCTTTTAAGTATTTTATAGAAATAATTATAAAATATAACATTTACTTCCCCAATTTATTAAATGAAGGATCTTGAGCATAATTTAAACTTTCCTTAATGACAAGATTGTCAAGAGATGAGAGGAAGCATGACATAGAGGAAAAAATATATTGGGTGTAATAGGACCAGGGTTCAGATCTCCACTCTTGCATGGATGAGATCTCAGGTAATTCACTTCACTTTTCTAGCACTCAATTTTTCCATCTGTAAAAGTAAAAAGGTTGGACCAGGAGATCTGTAAGGTTCCTTTTGACTTCTAAATCCTGGCAATGATTATGAACATTGTAGGATAATAAATTTAAAGGTAAAAGTGGACCAAGGAGCCATGAAGTCCAATCCCCTCATTATACAGGTGAGAAAATTGACCCAAAGCAGTTTAATTACTGGCCTAAGATCACAAATGTCAGAACTGAGATTTGAACCCAAGTCCTTTGACCCCAAGTCTAATGTTATTCCATTGCACCACCCTGCTTTAGTAATTCAATGAATCCTTTGGAAATGATTAAAGTGTGTAGGTCTGTTTGCTTCCATACTAAATGGTTACATTCAATTTATATTTTATATTGTATTTTGGTTTTCTTCTTCACTGTCACTTGAACTCGAGTCCATATTTCTATCTACTGGGTATTTCCACTTACATGTTCTGCTAAATATCATACTCCATACATTCAAATAAAACATTATCTTCCCTCTCCATACTCTATTTTCTCTGCTAAAACATAATAAGTCTTCTACTCACCCAGGCTTAATACTTTGGAATAATTTTTAACTTCTCCTTTACCTCTGATATCCAGTCAATCACCAAGTATTTTCACTTCTTCCTTCAAAACATCTCTCATAACTGTCTCTTCCTTTGCATTTCCAGTGGCTGGTCCAGACCTGCATTATCTCTCATATGAATTTGTACAACAACTCTAAAGCCAGCCTCTCTGACCCCAGTATTTCCTGATGCAAATAATACATTTGGCTTTTCAACTAATCTTACTTAAATACCATTTTCGCTAAGACATTTCTCTGCTTTGCTCAAAGCGGAAATATCTATCAGCATCTCCTACCATGTTGTATCGGCTGATTTTTTTCCTCAGACTGTTCTTGAGTCTTTGTTGACTCAGGGGATTAAGGTTAAACTTGTTCATGTGGCTTCCTATTCACCTAAATACAAAAAGCCATGAGAAGCCTCAGCAGCACCCTGACGGTTGACCAGCAGGCCACCATGGGCAACACAGAGATAAGGAGTTCTGTGTGATTGAATTGATGTTCTATCCTTAATTGAGTATCCTTTCCCTGTTCTGAATGTCTTTCTCCCTGCTAAGTAACTTTTGTTGATAATTAGCTGGACTAACGAATATTTTACTTCATTCTTGTCTCTAGTTACCAACTTGACCTGATCAACCCAATCAGTCAGTAAGTACCTACTATGAAGCACTGTAGCTTAGCACTAGACTAAAGCTAGAGATACAAAAAGAGGCAAAAGAACTTACAATCTAATTGGGAGCCTACTATACTCCCTATTGTCTGCCTTTATTAAATCTAAAATTCCTTTTCCTGGTTTTCAAGGGCCTCTATAATTTATCCTCACTCACACTGCCTTTCTCATCTTATTTCCACTATTCCTCTAGTCAATGCTCCACCGTATTATGAAAACATTTTGATAGCTCTCACCTGTTACAAAGAGGCAGTATGATGTGGAAAGAGCACTAAATCTGACACCAGAAAATCTGAGTTTGCATACTGGTTTTACTTATTATTTGCCAATTCTTGGGCAAGTCACTTTCCCTCTCTAGTCCTTAGTTTTGTTATTTGTAAAACGAAGGGTTTGAACTAAATTATCTATAAGGTCTCTTTTAGCATGCCTGTGACTCCATTTATGTTGTTCTTTCCTGGCATACTCTACTCCATGTACCCAAATTCTTTAAGACTAAAATTGCAGACCTCCTGAAAAACCTCCAGAAAATATAGAGCTTGGTCCCTCATTCTCTTGGATCCTCTCAGAAGATTATTTGGAAGCCATGGGCACAAGTCCTTCATGTGGTCACAGTCTTTTAACATGTTTGTCTTTCCTTAAGTCATAAAACTCCTACCCTAGTTCTTTATCCTTGTTATGGGCTCCAATGCCTTTACCTCTTAATTTCTTTCCCAGATGGTAACTCCTGTGTGGGCTATACTCTCCTCTATTCCTCTCCTTGGGGAATTCACCTCCCACAGGGTGAATCAGTTCAATTCTACATTACTCTCTAAATTCAATTCCCTTGCTCTGTTGCTAATTGTGCCTTGGACTACTCCCACTGTCTGCCTTCTTTGCTCCTATTGATTTCCATATCAACATATCCAGCCCTAGCTTCTCTCCAGAGCTATAGTCACACATCTCTAAGTGCCCCTTAGACATCTTAAACTAAATGCCCCATAGACATAGCAAGTTAAATAGGTCCAAAACAGAACTATCATCTTTTTCTTAAGACTCTCCTCTCTTTTAGACTTTCCTGTTATTGTTAAAGGCACCACCATTCTCCCAGTTCACAACCTCAATATCATCCTTGACTGCCCATTCTCACTCACCCTACATATCTAATGTGTTGTCAAGCCATGTCATTCTACTCTCACAAATTCTGTTGTATATGGCCATTTCTCTCCAGTCACAAAATTACCACCCTGGTACAGGTCCTTCTGACCTCACACCTGGACTCTTATAATAGCCTTCCAGTTGGTTTCCCTCTGTCTCAAGTCTCTCCCCACTGCAATCCATTCTCCACACAGAAATGATTTTTCAAAGACACAGGTCTGACCATGTCACATCACCTCCCCCCACCCACTCAATAAACTCTAGTAGCTCCTTATTACATCCAGAATCAAATGTAAAATACTTGTTTGGCTTTCATAGCCTTTCCCAAATTGAGTCTTTCCTAGAGGCAGCTAGGTGGCACAGTGGATAGAGCACCGGCCCTGAAGTCATGAGGATCTGAGTTCAAATCCAGTCTCGTACCAAACACTTGCCACTAGCTGCATGACCATGGACAAGACACTTAACCCCAATTGCCTAAAAACTTAAAAAAAAATTGACTCTTTCCTATCTTCTTATACTTTACTCACTTCCAAAAACAGTATAATCCAGCAACAACTGCCTTTTTATTCCTCACACATAACACTCCATCTCTCTCAACCACATGACTTTGAATTAGCTATACCCAATGCTTTTCCCCTCTCCTCTATCCCTATCTTTCCTGGCCTCCCAACTTAGCTCAGATTCTACCTTCTGCAAAAGGACTTTTTTCCAGTCCATCCATTGCTAGTGCCTTCCCTTTGAAATTTGTGGTTCTTGCTTTTATATAGTATATATCTTGTATATTCGTAGTTACTTGCATATTTTCTCCAGCATAAAAATAAGAGCTCCTTAAGGGCAGAGACTGCATTTTTGCCTTTCTTTGCACCTGAAGCATTTAGCATGATGTCTGACACATAGTAAATGTTTAATAAAGACTAATTGACTGACTGAATGACTGAATGGTTTATTGGCTAATGGTGCTAGAAGGGATGTCCAAGGATTCAGTGTCATCACTGAGGAGCCAGGTCTCAGTGAGAGTCAGAAGATATGAAGGTCCCAAATTAAAGGATGTTGATTAATAAAATATAGAATAAGAGTTCCAGAGGACGTAGTGGAAGAAGCAGGCAGATATTGAGTGGGACATTGTGAGGGTAGGTTTGAAGTAGATGAGGATGAGAGAGAAAGCACCCAATAATGAATTATAATAATAGCTTATATTTATGCAATACTTTCCAATGTGCTAAATATATTTATCACAACAGCCTTGAGTGGTTGATAGTATAAGTATTAGTACCCCCATTTTATAGGTGTGGAAACTAAGGCACAGAAATCATGGTAACATAGCTAGAAGAAACAATTCTTCTATCTCAAAGCCCTGTGCTACTTTCAAATTTTTCCATACATGTTACAATCAATAACTATGGATTGATAGACTTATGTTCATTCATTTACCATGTTTAACCTCATCTCGTATGTGACCAGTGGTCTGTATTTGCAGTGCATTTGACCATGAGCAGATCAGTCTATGGTCATACAATAAAGTGGAACTAATTGGTCTACACCCTGCTCCTTAGTCACAGACTGAATCCTTAATTCCACACTCACCAATATGTACCATAGGGGAAAACAGAAAAGACAGTGTGACTGAAGCAGTCTGAACCTCTACCACCGTTAGAAAAACAAATTCAAAGTTCGTGACCTATGAACTGTAGAATAGCAGAAGCATCTGCTATATACCAGTTGCAGAGTGTTCATTCTGAAGACCAGTAACAATCAAAATAATAATCTCTGTATAGATCTATTAGAATGCAGAAGTTTAGAATCCACTTACTTTACACATAGACTAGGAATGGTCTAAGCAAGGAGAGAAGTTAGTGCTTAACAGCTAGGTTTAATTGGGTGATCCAGAAAAAAGCCACTTTCAGTGTGAGTCCACATCCCGCTTTTATCCAACATATAATGAGAAAATTCTGTCTCTTCCTCTCTGATCAATCTCCTCAGACAGTGATCAATACTCCTCAGATAGACATACAGAAAGGAATGGTAGTAACTCAATACCTCTGAGTTTAAGTGCAGGCTGTTTTTTCCATATTTCTGGCATCATTTCTCTTCGAGTTTTCAAGACAAATTGACTATTGATAAACTTGCAGATGCTGAGAATGTTGAAGGTGACTTGGGGATGGATGATGGTGAAATAGTCATCAACCCGAATATCCTGGGTTTGGAGTCCTGGGACATACTTTTGAATGTTTACTCCAGCTTGCTTGACCCTTAGCTACTCACAAAGGACAAATATAAAGGCTAATGAGTCAGAAAGTTAATTTGAAGTCGAAGCTCTTTCTTAGAAATAATATTTTAATTAGGCTTTGTAACTCAGTTTCCCAAAGATAAAAAGCATCAAATAAAAAAAGAATCCTTGTGAAAGCAATAAAGATCCTTTTTTTTAAATCTGCAAATAATAAAAACTTTGAAAGAAAGAAAAAGAGACAGGAAAGGGAAAAAAAGATCAGTAAAGCATAGTTGGGGTAAAAATAATTACTTAAGCCCAATTCTCCCCATCCAATTGTGCTGGGCACATACAGCATCCCTTCCAGAGGTCCAGAATAAGATCATAGATATCAAGCTGAAAGGGACTGTGGAGGTCATTTAGTCTAGTCTCCACCTCCAGCTAAGGAAACTGAGTCCCAGGGAGATTAAATATGTTGCCTAAGGTCACACAGAGAATAAAGGATCTGGATACAGCCACTCTGAGTCAAGAGCAGGTGTTCTTTCTCTTGTACCATACTTGCCTCCCTGTTCTTTCAGGCAGCGAAATTGTCACTCCTGCATAAATTCCATAGTTCATGCAGTGGGTTTACAACAGAGCAAGACTGGACACTAATTTCTCCATGGGAAGGTGAAAGTCCAGCCAAGGATTCATCAAGGACATTTACATGCAGGGTGCTTACATGTTTCCTAATTAGAATGGAAGTTCTTTGAGGCCTGGAACTGTCTTTGCTTTCGTATTTGTATTTTTTGTATTTTAGTTGGTACTTACATACATGATTTTGTATTTTGTATTTTCAGCACTGCCCAGTCCTTGCCATATAGTAAGTGCATTAACTTCTCTCCTTGCCTAGACCATTCCTAGTCTGTGTGTAAAGTAAATGGATTCTAAAATGTTTCTTTCATTCATTTTACTGAGGAGGTATTATATGCCCAGGGATACAAGATAATTTGTGGAGGGATAGAACTGTAGCAACGCGGTGCAATAGGAAAAACGTTATGGAGGAGATAGAGTTTAGCTCTGAAGGAAGATGAAGAGTCTGACGGAGATGAGGAAGAAGACCTTTGCAGGTGTAGAGGGATGGCTTATGAAAGTACGGAGGCAGCAGATCCAATGTCAAATGTAGGAAATAGCTAGAAGTCACGGAGCTAGCAATTAGAACATATGAAGGGCAGAAAGGTGAAATAAGATTGCAACTGTACGTAAGACCCAGGTTGTTGGGGGCCTTAATTGCAAGAGTGAGGAGCTTGCATTTTATCCTAAGGCAATAATTAGTTATTGAAAGTTTTTGAATGGGTAGGCACTTGGTTAAATTGAAGCTTTAGTAGGAACAAAGTTGATATCTGTAACTTTGTAACTGATCTCTGAGTATTTAATAATAGCTCGCATGAAGGTTGACAAAACGCTTTACAGATATTATCTCATTTTATCCTTATAACAACCCTGAGAGGTAGGTGAATGAATCTCTTCAGAAACAAATGTCATTCCATGTTCATGTATTTCATTCAAGGAATCTAACAGAGATGAAACTTCAGAATCCTCACAGAATTCTGGTGCTTCACCACAATTATGGGGGATTGGCATTTGTTTTTTTTTCACTTAAAAAAATTTTGTAATTTTCATTTAAAAAAATTTTGTAATTATTTGTAATGAGGATAAACTAGAAGCCTCCCCAGTGAGATCAAGTGTGAAACAAGGATGATCATTATCACTAACATTATTCAATATTGTATTGGAAATCGTAGCAATAAGAGAAGAAAAAGAAATAGGAGGAATAAGAATAGGGAATGCGGTAATAAAACTATCTCTTTTTGCCCATGATATGATGACATACTCAGAAAATTCCAAAGACTCAACTAAAAAGTTGGTTGAAACAATTAATAACTTCAGCAAAGTAGCAAGATACAAAGTAAATCCACATAAATCATCAGCATTCCTGTATATCACAAATGAAACTCTTGAAGAAGAGATAGTAAAAGATACCCCATTTAAAATAACTCTAGACAGTATAAAATACCTGGGAGTACACCGGTCAAAACAAACCCAGGAACTACATGAAGAAAACTATAAAAAAAAATTTTTTTGTACAAATAAAATCAGATTTAAATAATTGGAGAAACATTAATTGTTTATGGGTAGGCAGGGCCAATATAATAAAATGACAATTTTACCTAATTAAATTACCAAAAAATTATTTTACTGAATTAGGAAAAAAAAAGAAATTCATTTGGAAGAACAAAAAGTCAAGGATATCAAAGGAAATAATGAAAAAAATGTAAAGGAACGAAGTTTAGCAGTATCAGATCTTAAACTGTATTATAAAGCCGTAATTATCAAAACTGACTGGTACTAGCTAAGAAATAGAAAGGTAGATCAATGAAAGAAAGTAAACATACAATGTATAGCAGCAAATAAACATAATAACCTTGTATTTGACAAGTGTAAAGACTTAAGATTTTGGGATGAGAATTCATTATTTGGTAAAAATTGTTGGGAAAACTGAAAAGCAATATGGCAGAAACTGGGCCTAGACCAATATCTTACACCATATACCAAGATAAGGTCAAAATGGATACTTGACCAAGATACAAAGAGAGATATAAGAAAATTAGAAGAACACGGAACATGTTATTTATCAGACCTATGGATAGGCAAACAATTTACAAATAAACAAGAAACAGAAAGCAAAGTTAGGTGTAAAATGGATAATTTTTATTACATTAAATTAAAAAGTTTTTGTAAAAATGAAACAAATGTAGGCAAGATCAGAAGAAAAGCAGAAAATTGGGGAAATATGTATAGAGAATATATCAGATAATGGTCTTATATCAAAAATATATAAAGAACTTAGTTAAATCTGTAAGAATACAAGTCATTCTCCAATTGATAAATGGTCAAAGGATATGAACAGGTAGTTTTCCAATGAAGAAATCAAAACAATTTACAGTCATATGAAAAAATGCTCTAAATCATTGTTGATTAGAGAAATGCAAATTACAACAACCTTGAGATATAATTTTACACTTACCAGATTGGCTAAAATGATAGGAGGAGAAAGTGACAAATGTTGGAGGGGATGTGGAAAAATTGGGGCACTAATTCATTGTTGGTGGAATTGTGAACTGATCCAACCATTTTGGAGCGCAATCGAGAATTACACCCAAAGAGTTATTAAACTACCTATACCCTTTGACCCAGCAATACCACTACTAGGTCTATTTCCAAAAATGATTAGGTAAAAAAAGAAGAACCTATGTTCTAAAATGTTTATAGCAGCTCTCTTTGTAGTGGCAAAGAACTGGAAATTGCAGGAATATCCATTAATTGGGGAATAGCTGAACAAGTTGGGGTATGTGATTGTGATAGAATACTACTATGCTATAAGAAATGATGAGCTCAATGGTCTTAGAAAAACATGGAAAGACTTGCATGAAATAATGAAGAGCGAAATGAGCAGAACCAAGAGAACATTGTACAAAGTAACAGCAATATTATTTTAAGAATGACTTTGAGTAGGGGCAGCTAGGTGGCGTAGTGGATGGAGCCCTGGCCCTGGAGTCAGGAGAACCTGAGTTCAAATATGACCTCAAACACATAACTCTCACTAGCTATGTGACTCTGGGCAAGTCACATAACTCCAATTGCCTCACCAAAAAAAAAAAAATGACTTTGTGCAAATAAGTTATTTTGACTATTATAAATGCCCAAATTAAGTGTAAAGGACAGATGAAGAAAGATGCTGCCTGTATCCTGAGAGGAGTATCTGAAAAAGAAGGGATCAAAAGCATAGGGACATGGGTGCCAAAGATTTAACTGAAAAACTCAAGGCAGATCTCACTTGTTCCATCTACCTGGGCTACTTCACTGACCCAGTGACTGTCAATTGTGGCCATAGTTTTTACACAGGGTGTCCTATCCAGTACAGGGAGGGAGCCCATAAAACATTAACCTGCCCAAAATGCAGAGGAGTCATCAAATACAGCGGTGATCTGGTGACCACAAGGAACCTGCAGAATCTGTCCGTCACTGCCAAAATGCTCAGACCTCATTTACTGCAGACCATCGTAGGTCTGACCACCTGTAATCAACATGGGGAAAAGAAGAAGCTCTTCTGTGAGGAAGACCAGAGAATCCTCTGCGATTCCTGTTCATTAGCCCAGGAGCACAAGGATCTGGTGATCCTACCCTTGAAAAAGGCTGCTGCCAAGTTCAAGGAGAAGCTCCGGTACACAGGGAGTATCTCACAAGAAAAGGAATTTCCAATTGCATTAGACAAAAATTTTTCAAAAATTTGAAAATTGTTTAAAAAAATAAAAAGAATTTTTGTTTTGAATGAGACCTGTGATTTTATGGGTACTGGGAATTCCTAGTGAAGAAGCTTCCTCTATCAAGGCAGATCCACATCCATGCTGTAATTTATCTCGGAATGGTGTCAAACTCAAATAGAAACAAAACTTGACTTAGAAAACCACAAATTAACATTATCTATGCTGTATTGTATTTTTATTCGTTAAACATTTCCTGATTACATTTTAATCTGGCTCCTGGCCTCACTTGAGAGTTTTGTAGACCCTGCTGGCCCTCTGGAGCATTGCCTGAGATATTGAAAGATTAGATAGTTTTCCCAGGACCACATAAGCCAGGGTGTCTCAGAGATGGAACTTGAACCTGTACTTTCTTACTCCTAAGGTTAGCTTTCAAGAGACTGCCCCTTCTCCCCCTTCCCTTCCCCCTTCTCCTCTCCCTCTGCCTTTTTCCCTCCCCTCCTCCTCTTCCTCTACTTTCTATCTGTGGAAAAACTGAGGTACTGTAGTATTACCTAATTTAGGTAAGGCTGAACATACAAGTCGTACAAGTTTTAGCTAAGCTAATATCCCTCATTAAGAGTTAGCTTTGCTTTATGAAAAGGGCCACTTAATTATTATTAAATTATTAAAATTTGATCATAGTTATTAACAATATTATTTTAAAATTATTATAAGTGCCACTTTTCATAAAGTGAGCCTTTCACTCTCACATCACCAGTAACAATCCAGAAGAAGGTTAAAAAAAGGGGGTTTCTCTTACTGTAGCATCAAAGACAATGTGGAAAGGAAAAGCATTGCAGAAAGTCTTCTCTTCAATCCAAAGTCTTTCTGGATACACTGGCTCAAAAAGATTCTGTAGGTTCCCTGTAGGAGAAGGAAAACAAGTCCCAGGTTTCCCTGTTAAACCTCCACCACCTCTTTTTTTTTTTTAAGAGAGTAAAGATTGAAACGTTATTTGGATGGGGGGGTTCAGGAGCACTATAGAATCTCATTTTGGAAGGGGTCACTCATTTTGGAGGTCACCTAATCCACAACCCCTAACCAAATCCTCACTGCTTTCTTTAACATCTGTAATGGGTATAATAAGTCATTCAACCTCTGATTGAAAATTTCCCATGGTGGAGAACCCATGGCCTCCCAAGGCAGCCCAATACACTTTGAACAGCCTCTAATCCTTAGGGATTTTTTTCCTTAGGTTGAGTTGAAATCTGTCTTTCAGCACAGGCAGCTGGGTAGTGCACTGCCTGGAAGATCTGAGTTAAAATCTGACCTCAGACCATGACTAGCTGTGTGATCGTGGGCAAGTCACTTAACCTCTGCCTGCCTCAGTTTCTTCATTTGTAAAATGAGGGTAATAATAGCACCTACTTCCCAGGGCTGTTATGAGGATCAATTGAGATAATAACTGTAAGATGTTTAGCCCAGTGCCTGGTATATAATAAATCCTCAATAATATAATAGCTAGCATTTATATATTGCTTACTACATGCCAGGCACTGCGCTAAGTGCTTTACAAATATTATCTCATTTGATCCTCACAATATCCCTAGGATGTATGTTCTATTATTATCCCCATTTTACAGTTGAAGAAACTGAGGCAGACAGGTTGACTTGCCCAAGGTCATATAGTTAGTAAGTATCTGAGACTGGATTTGACCTTATGTCTTCTTCACTCCAAGCCCAGTGCTCCATCCACTGCATAACCTAGCTGCCCCTAATAAATGTTGTTCTTCTTCTTCTTTTCCTCCTCCTCCTTTCATCTTCTCCTTTTTATCCTTCTCCTTCTTCTCCTTCTCCTCCTCCTCCTCCTCCTCCTCCTCCTTCTTCTTCTTCTCCTTCCCATTGTTTCCATTTTTGCCCCCTCCCATGACAAAACAAGTCTAATTGTTCCTCCATATAGCAGCATTTCCGCCACTTGGAAACACTGATCATGTCCACTCTCCCTACTAAGTCTTCTCTTCAGGCTAAACATCTGCAGTGCCCTTTGACCAATCCATGTAGGATATAGCTTCCAGTTCCCTCCTTGTCCTGTCTGCATAAGGAATGTGAGCATACTGTTCCTTAAATGGGAGACCCATAATTGGATACAAAATTCTGCTCCTATGTCTATGCTTAAGCTCCCTTAAATTCGCTTCTTAGTGTAAGCTCTTTCAGAGTCTCCAGATGGCCAGGGCGAATCTTTTTCCAAATTAAAACAAACAAACAAAAAAATACTTGCTACTGGATTGAGAAGCCCTCCTGCCCCATGCCAAGTTTCTGCCCAGAGAAGAGGTTTGGGTTTTTTTTTTTTTTGGCTAATTGAATATCTTAATGAAAACAGAGTTAGCATTGAATATGCTGACAGAATATATAATGATCGCACAGGGCCCTGCTCCTGCTATTCAAAGCTGTCTCTGTAGTGCCTAGTCCAGCTTCAGTGACATTTGCCATGGGTTTTCTTTCTTTCTTTCTTTTTTTTCCTAGACTGACAGCATTGGGTAGCACATGAAATTTTAACCAACAGCCTACTTTGGCAGGGGGTATCAATCCAAAATGGAGGCTTTTTGATATGAAAATCTTCTAGACAAAGGATTGTCAGTTGCACATTTGAATAGCCTGCTACAGATTGAAAGCCTCAAAATACAGCCATTTGGACTGTACAGACCTGCTCTCAAATGTATATAATCATGGCCATCAGTGTACCCCATGGAGTGGTATGAAATGCTCTCTCCTCTTAGGGAAGTTAGGCTTGCATGTTTTATTCCTGTCTTTGTATGCCCATCTCATGCCTGGCACATAGTAGGTACTTTTAAAAAATGCTTGTTGATTGATTCCTACTGCCTGACCGGGAGGATCAGAGGATCATAGAATGGGGGAGCTGGCCTTGAGTTAATCTAGACATGAGTGACCACATGGCAGAGAGGGAAACTGAGGTCCAGGCAGGTTGGATGAATTGTAAAATGATCCAGAGAAGGAAATGGCAAATTACTCCAGTATCTTTGCCAAGAAAACCCCAAATGAGGGTCATGATATAGATAGATAGATGGATAGATAGATAGATAGATAGATAGATAGATAGATAGATAGATGGATGGGTAGATAGATAGATAGATAGATATAGGAACCAACATAAGTTATAAGTATAATATATATATATATATAAAATTAACATGTTGATTTTGTATCTGTGGGTGTATGTGTAGGTATATAAATATATATATACATTTATGAAAAGGAAGAGAATATATATGTATGTACACACACACAAACACACACACACATACATATATATATATATATGTATCTCTCTAAGTCAATCAATGATATCATAATCAGGGAGAGCTTTGCGGCTTAATTTCCTGCCCAGGGCTGTCACTCCCTAGGATAAGAGCCATTTCAAGGCCCAGCTGAGCCCCAAATCTAGCTTAGATATATGTGGGTGGGGGTTAGTAAATAAACCACTCACCTTTTCCAAATATGACAATACTTCTCACAATATCCCAGTGGGATTTCTTCACTGGGCACACAGAGAGAGACAAATATTTCTCCTTCATTCTCTGAAAAGCCTTTTCAACCTCCTGTAAGCAGGAAACAGAGAAGAGGCATATGTATTTGATACGGTAATTTCAGATGTGGTGATACTCCATATTCCCACTGCTCCTTTGTTGAGTAAGTTTAGAAGACTTTAGAGATAGAATCTCATTCAACCTCAAGCTATCTGATTAGTAGAGGGAATATGGGATACTGGTCCTATTTAGAGATAGTGTAAGGAAACCGTAGAGCAGGGGCACCAGAATCCTTACATGGAGCCTCTGATCATGAGGCAAAAGTAGTCAAGTCTAACCCCACCTGCATCTCTAATGTGATGCCCTTGATTGAGTAGCCATTGTAGTTTGTGGAATTTAAATCTGCAAGAAACTTAGAGTTCATCTGGTCCAACCACCTGATTTTTTTAAGTGATAAGACTGAGAGAGTAAGAGAGCAAGAGACAGAGAAGGAGAGAGATAGTAACAGAGAAAGACAGAGACAGAGAGATAGAGACAGAGAGGCAGAGACACAGAGAGACAGAGGGAGCATTTATAAAACACTATGTGCCAGGCTTCTTACTAAGCACTACGGATACGCTATAAGAAAACAAAATGGCCTCTATGTTTAAGACAGTCAGATTCTAATAGGGAGAAGAGAGTGCCCTGCACAAGATCACACAGGCAGCAAGCGGTAGAGCTGAAAATTGAACCTATATCTTCTGATTCTTCCTCCAGCAGATTTTTTTAAACTGTATCACTCATAAAAAAATGAAATCCAAGGGGAGGTTTTCATGTAAAGACTTTCACCAGAAGTACACTTAGGTTGAGATGATACTCCATTCATTCATTTATTCTTTCACCCAACATTAGTTAAGTGCTGTTTGGGGAACACTGTTGTGATAGGTAAGAATTAAACTTTAGATAAATCATGATCTCTTATAGATTTATTTCATAGTCTAGTAGGGAAATAGCCCTCAGATATACACCACTGTATTATATAGCATTCCATGAGACATACATTAACAGGTTACAGAAACCAATAAAGCACTTTATGCACATGATCAAAATTGAGCCTTGTAACAATGTTGTGTGGTAAGCATTATGCGTGTTATTCCCACTTTATAGATGAAGAAACTGAGAGTCAAGAAACTAAGCAATGTGCCCACTGACACACAACTAATAAAAATCAGAGTCAGGATCTGAAACCAGGTCTTCTTTACTCTAGGCTCACATATAATCCATTTTGTCACGCTACCTATATATTTACATGTTGTCTCCCTCCACAGACTGTAAGCTCCTGGAGGGCAGGGGCTGTTTCACTATTGCCTTTTGAACCCCAGCACATAATACTGTGCCTAATTAATTAGTTAATAAATGATTATTGAATGCCTAACTCTCAAAGCTCTATTTAAGGTTCAGAGGGGAAGATTTTTACCAATGGGGTAAAAAGCACATGTGACCAGCCATGATATCTGTGTTTGAAAATCCTCCATACAGATTAACTGAAATGGGATTTACATTCCTCAAGAGAGAAATCCTGTGAAGAGGAAATTACATTTATCTTGGAGCTGATACAACAGAGACACCCACAGACAGATGTCACGCTCACAGATGATGGCTTATAAATTGATAATGTCTTATACCATGCAGCAAGAGAGGTAATATGATATATGAGAGATGTGAAACTTTGTAACCATTCTTCAGGTTATCATCATCATCATCTATCTATCATGATGATAGCTATTTTTGGAATGCAGAGAGTTGGGTTCAGATTCTGACTCTGATATTGACTCTTTCACAATAGGCAAATCCTACCACCTCTTCGAGATTATTTCTTTATCTGTAAAATGAGGATAATAATATTTATTAGGAACAGTGTATTATAGATGAAAGACCACTACATATGTAATCACAAGGCTAGGGACTAAATCCTGACTCTGCCATTCATTACTAAGATGATGATGATGATTAGATATTATTATATTGATATTAATATTATTATTATTATATTATTAATACTATGATTTCACTATTATTTTGTGACCTAAAATAAGACATTTAACTTCTCTGGGCCTTGTTTTCCTGGTCTGCAAAATCAAGGAGTTGGATTGGATGACCGTTAAGGTCCATTCTAAAACTAGACTCCTGAGAGCTTACTTGTACTGCCTACATCACAGAAGTGGTTTTGGGAAAGTGTTTTGTAAACCTTAAAGCTCTACGTAAAAAGGGTTGAGAAATGGACTTATGATTCCCAGGTGAGGAAACTCCTACTGCCAAGGCAGATTAGAACCAACTCTACAACTTATAGTCTTAACTGGGGCACTGAGAAATTAAGTGACTTACCCAGGGTCACACAACCAGTATCTTTCAGGGGAGAAATTTTATTTTAGGCCCTCCTGGCTGTCCATTAAATTATATAATATTTGTGAAAATACTAAGCACAGTGCTTGGCACATAGTAGGCACCTAATAAATGCTTCCTCCCTTCCCTTCCTGCCCCCTCATCCACTGTATTGTGTTGCTTCTCACTATATAAATATGGAATGCTTGTAATTATCAAATTTTTATTTGTGCCCAGGAAGTGCAAAGTTCAAGTGGTCAGTCATATCCTTTTGGAAATGGTTCTAGACCTCTGGTTTGATCCTGAAGTCTCTTAAACTGATAGGAAGAATAGATAATAGAGACCTGCGAGGTAGGCTTATGCCAACGTGGCATGCTCCGGGCATAAATTTGAGGTCCAGAGTAGGTTACCATGCCATTTACTGGATTGAGAAGTTAATAGGTCAAAGGTCCATTCCAGCCAGGTAAAGGAATGTTTCCTGTCCATCCGAACCAAGACTACTAGAACCATACTGAATCCACTCATTCTGTTACAGGGAGACCTAAAAGATGCCTAGCTCTGAGAAGACTCTCTTCATAGATGAGAAGGCACCATTGTCTAAAGAACCCACTCAATACCTCTTGGTCTTGCTGGGAGTTTTTGCCTCTTTGGGACATCTTTGACCTTGTCTTTTTCTCCTGCCCATAATGTTTCTGCACAATGAGAAACACGACGTGTTCTTTCTTTCCGGTCCTCTCCTCTTCCTCACTCTTATTGAGAATCTCCATCATCATATCCATGTTGAAGAAGTCTTTGGCAACTGCTTCAATGATGCCTAGGCCAGGAGGAAATATAGTCATGAGTTATAGCTGATGGCAATTCAATTCAACATTGATTAAGTGCCTACTGTATCCAAGGCACTGTATGAGGTATTGGGATACAGAGACAAGAAGGAAGCAGTCCTTCCCTTACATGGAACTTACTACAAGGGAATTTTACATGCACTCAAATAAATAATGGGGACAGGCACAACAACATGAGCTATGATTTCATTGAAGTAGGGAACTCCCAGATGTGCAAACTCCCTCTACCAATGTAGGCTTGCATCTACTCTGCAACTTAGTCTTAGATGATGGCCTAGAATACTGAGAAGCCAAGGGTACTCAGGGTCACATGGCCAATAAATGGCAGAGTCAAGACTTGAATGCCAGGTCTTCCTATCTCTGAGGAAGACTCTCTGTCCACTATGCCAGACAACAAAAAACATACAAAGTAATTTCAAGAGAAAGAGGGTGCTAACAGCTAGGGGAGAAGGAAGAATCAATTAACATTGCTTGTAGAAGGTGGTGCCTAAGCTGTACTTAAGATTACAGCAATAATAATAATAATAATAATAATAATATAGAATTTATATAGTACTTTAAGGTTTTTAGAGAGCTTTATTAATATTATCTCATTTGATTCTTATAATAACCCTGGGAAGTAGGTGCTATTATTATCCTCATATTACAGTTGAGAAAGCTGAAGCAGACAGAAGTTAAATGACTTGCCCAGGGCCACACAGCTAGCAAATGTCTGAGGCTGAATTTGAATTAGTCTTCTTAATTCTAGGCCTGGCACTCTATCCACTGTGTGACCTCAGTGCCTAAAGGAAATTATATCTAATAACACTGGAAAGATAGGAGGGAATCAGATCAGGGAGATCTTCAAACGCCAGGCTGATGATTTTTTATTTTTTTCTTTATCTTAGAAGCAACTGAAGATTTTGGAAGGGAAGGGAGAAGAAGGTATAACATTTCAGGAATATAAATTTCCCAACTGTGTGGAGGCTGGATTTGAGATGAAAGCTTTTTTGGACAGAGAGACTCATTAAAAAGCCACTGAAACAGTCTAGGTTGGAGGTGATAAAGGTCTGACCCCCAAATAAATCATGAAATAATAAAGTCACAGCTCTCCAGAGGATCTCCAGAATTCATAATACAGGCCCAGTATTCAGACAGGCCTCACCAACCAGAGGGAGTAACTGGTCAATCGAAGGCCGTGTATCGACTTTGTGCTATGTTCAGAGCACCGTGATGTGACAGATACGAATAGCCATGGAGGCAGTGAAGCCTCCATCATTCCCTAGTGTTCTGTTCCCTCAAGAGACTCAGCAGAGTAAGAAGACAAATGCTCAAGATTGATGAACACTCACACTCAGGGCATTACCAGGAAAACAGAAGCAAAAGCAGACACACACCTTCTCCAATCTGCTTGGTCACTAGTTTCAGGTCTTGACCTGACACCATATTTCCAAAGGTTTATTGGATCAAGTATCAGACCCTGTGGCTTTCCATTACTGGATAATTCTTTGTTAATGCCTTGAGTTTAAACCAGCTTTGCAAAGAGGCTCCAACAATTCATGTAACTATTGTTTTAGCCACCTCTTAGAATTTTTTCCAGCAAAATAATAATGATGCCCTAGGCTATATTTTTTTTTATCAAAATTCTTACTCTCCTGTAGACTAATTTCTTTCAGACTTAAAGCTGTGAATCAGACCTAATATTCATATCTGGGCTAAATCTTGCACTTGAAGTAATGTACTCCAAAGTAGGCTGTGATGCAGAAAGAACCATTAATCATATGTTGGAGAGTCTAGGACAGTTTTGTCACTTGACATCTTATTTCAGAATTTTTTTAAAAAAATTAAAATAAGGTGTTTATCCCAAGGATAAAATGATCAAAATGTCTGTTTTAAAAGTTATTGCTAGGTGGCTCAGTGGATAATGCACTGACCCTGAAGTCAGGAGGACCTCAGTTCAAATCTGGCCTCACATTAAACGCTTGCCACTTACTAGCTGTGTGACCCTGGGCAAATCACTTAACCCCAATTGCCTAAAAAAAAAAAAAGTTATTTCACCTTTTGACACTATGGAAACTTTTAAGGGCACATTTATTTATGGGAGAGATGAGGGCAGGTAAGAGGTGGCACCTGAGCAGTACTTCATAAAAATCCAGGATATCACCAAACAGAAACAGAAGGAAGCATTTCAGAAATGAGCACCATCTGAGCAAAGGCAGAAAAGTGCAAGGATGAAGATAATCTCCCAAGGAATATGGTTTAACAAGGCTTTGGGAGATGATGAAGTTAGATTACCAAGAGTTTATGGAGAGGGGTAGTTCCTAGTTTCAGAGGCACTCAAGGATTCTTTTTTAAAAAATTTATTTTATGGAATTTCATAATTTATTTATGGAATAAAACAAGCATTTCCATATGATAGTATAATAAAAAGATGATTACACATGAAACTGCAAATCTACTATGTATACCTTGCTATTCCTTTTAAATATATAATAAAGTTAGGTAAATTTTTCCCCTACCCTCCCCCCCCAAGGATTCAGTCCTCAAGAAACAATCAACTTAATCTCCTACCTGGGACAATGTGGCACAGACCTCTTCTATCAGAGTAGTAGTGAAGAAGCATTGTCCCATTTGTCCCTTTCTCCACTCTAAATGACGGGGCGTTCATTTCCTAAGCAAAAAGCAAAAAACAAACAAAAAACATTTTCCTCCATCAGTCTAATTTGTCCAAATCACCCTTTTAGATTTGTACTCGCAAAGAGGAGTCTTTTTTTCTTCAAGCCCAGCACTCTGTCCACTGTGCTCCCTAGCTACTTCTAATTTATAAATGGGTGGGGTTGTGATATGGTCATATTTGCACTTCAAGAACATCACTTTAATAGCTTACCTCACATGTATTATCTGTTCCCAAACCTTGACATTTCTACCTTCATGATATTTCTCATATCCTTTACTACATGCACACAATGACCACCATGTTGTAGACACTTATTATCTCTCACCTAGACTAGGTCAACAGACTTCTGGCTGGGTCTACTACTTCAAGACTTAGGCCAAATTGTTCCTTTCCTGGGAGACCTTTCTTGGTTTTCCCCAACAGCTAATGCCTACCGTCTTAAGATTATCTTCATCTACTCTGTATATAGCTTCTATATATTGAGTTATTTCTTTGTTGTCTTCTCCATTACAATGTGTACACCTAGAAGGTGAGAATTGTTTTCAGTTTTGTTTGTTTATTTGGCCTTCTTTTCTATCCTCATCGCTTAGTACAATGTTTGACACATTCTAAGCATTTAATAAACATTTGTCGATTGGCTAACTGTCATGCTGTTCATTGTGTTCCTCATTCTTCTTATCTCACTTTGTTGAAGTTCATATAAGTCTCCCTAAGGCTTTCTATATTCTTTATATTCATCATTTCTTATGGCATAGTGATATTCTATTACATTTATGTATCACAACTTGATCCGTCTCCAGTCTTACATTTCCAACTTCCCACTAGGCATCTCTAACTAGATTATTGTGAACATCTTAAACTCATTATTTTTTGTTTGGTCATTTTTTAGCCGTGTCCAACTCTGTCCACCGTGCCACCTAGCTGGCACATCATATTTCCAATTTGAATTCATCATCTTTTGCCCAAAACCCTCTCCTCTTCCACACTTCCCTATTATTGACTGAGATACCACCATATTCCCAACCCAGGTATCAGCCTCTGCTCTTCCCTCTCTATCACCCTCTGTCCAATCTTTTATCAAGTCTTATCATTTCTACCTTTGTAACATTTTTTCACAGAAACTCTCTTCTTTCGTCTGACACTGCCACGGTCCTGGTACAGGGCTTCATCACCTAATGCCTAGGCTATTGCAATAGCCTGCAGGTTGATCTCCTTGCCTCAAATATCTCCAATCTATCCTCCACTCAATTGTCAAATTGACCTTCCTAGGCTTGACTAGGTTAAACACTTTGGACACTAGTCACTCACTCCAAGAATTAGTTCATAGATATTTCTTCAATTCTGCTCAAATTAACAAGCATTTGTTAAGTGTCTGATATTTCAAAGACACTATACTAGATTTCCAGGGTATGAACGTGAAATGATATCACCCTTGCTCTCAAGCAGCTTTACATTTTGGAAAACTATGAGCAATGCCATGCAAGGTTATTTAAGACAGACAGGTCATAGTGGAGAGTTCAGACAAAAGGTGATCCACTGGAGGGGGCAATGGCAAACCACTGAAGTATCTTTGCCAAGAAAACCCATGAACAATATTAAAAAGAAAAAAGATTTCATACTTTAAATGAACAATGCAAAGAAATAGAAGAAAACAAGAGAATGGGAAAGGTAAGAGATCTCTTCAAGAAAATTAGAGATATCAAGGAAATGTTTCACGCAAAGAAAAAAAAGACAAAAATGGTAGGGACTTAACAGAAGTAAAAGAGATTAAGAAGATGTGACAAGAATATAAAAAAGAGCTATATAAGAAAGATCTTAACATCACTGATAACCATGATGGTGTGGTTACTGATCTAGAATCAGACATCCTGGAGAATGAAGTTAAGTGAGCTTTAGGAAACATTGCTAATAATAAGCCTAGTGAAAGTGACAGAATTCCACCTGAGCTATTTAAAATCCTAAAAGATGATGCTGTTAAAGTGCTTCACTCAATATGCCAGCAAATTTGGAAAATTCAACAGTGGCCACTGGATTGGGGAAGTTCAGTTTATGTCCCAATCCTAAAGAAGGGCGATGTCAAAGAATGTTCAAATTACCCAACAATTGCACTCATTTCACATGCCAGAAGATTGTGCTTAAGATTCTGCCAGTTAGGTTCCCCCAATATGTGAACCTAGAATTATCAGAAGTGCAGGTTAGTTTTCAAAGAGCCAGAGGAACTAGAGATCAAATTGCCAACACTGAAGGATTATGAAGAAAGCAAGAGACTTCCAGAAAAACATCTACTTCTGCTTCATTGACTGCACTAAAACCTTCTGTGACCAAATCAGTCAATACTTAAATTAATTCCGATTATTCATTGGAAGGACAAATACTGAAACTGAAGCTTATATGCTTTAGCTATATAATGAGAAGACAGGACTCATTGGAGAAGACTCTGATTTTGGGAAATATTAAAGGCAAAAGGGGAAGGGAATGGCAGAGGATAAGATGGATAGGTAGTGTCATGGGAGCAATGAACATGAGCTTAGGCAGACTTTGAGAGATACTGGAGGACAGAAGAGCCTGATGTGGTATGGTCCATGGGGTCACAAAGAAACATGGCTTAACAACTGAACAACAACAACAACAACAACAATGTGCCAGGCACTGTTCTAAGCACTTTACAAATAGTTTCTTATTCAAGACTTACAACAACCCTGTGAGGTAGGTTTTATTATCATCCTCACTTGAAGTTGAGAAAATTGAGACAGAGATTAAGTGACTTGCCCAGGGTCATGCCATTAGTAACTGACTGAGGCTTGATTCAATCTTAGTTCTTTATTATTTCCAGGTCCAGGGCTCTTTCCACTTTGCCACCTTCCTGACTCTGAGAGCTTGCATTCCATAAAGTGCCTATGACATGGACAACACTGAGTGTAAACACCAACATATCACTATACTCTCAGGAAATGAAGAATGCAATACTCTTTCCTGACTTCATGTCAATTATTAGAGGCTTAGTTGTGTGTATTCTCTGTTTGGGGGCTGACAAAAAGGCTCACTATGAGAAAAACAAACTGAAATGAATCCTCACCTGAAGGAAAGTTTTGGTTGCATAGAGAATGGTCCACTCCATTTTACCTTTTGAAATATAGTTCTTTCTTCTCCAAAACATGAGGATACTAGGCAACTGCATATCCAGTGATCTTTAAAAATATAAATGAACTCCAAAAGGAAAGGTCCCAATAGGGAAATTCGTTTCTTAACAACTCAGCCAGTAATCCTGTTAGCTAATTGGAGTTGGATGGCTTCCTACACTGGCTATTGGTCCTGTTAGCTTCTCTTGCCTTTTGTCTGACTACTCAAGCCATTTATCATCCTCTTCCAGGCCAGTATCCCTAAAGAGAGAATCCAAAGTCCCTCTCAAATCTGATTACACTCTTGTCTTTGTTCCCTCTGAAAGCTCTCCCAAGGTTTAATTGCAAATCCAAACCAGTTCTAGGGGGAGAGATTTTTTCCCTCACCAGAAATTCACCTTCCTCTAGTTTTTGCTTTTGAATTTTTGATGTCCAGCTATAAAAAGACTTTAATTATTTTCTATTCTTTACTAACCTAATAAAGACTGCTAAATTATTGACATGATTTATTGACACGGTGACAGCAGGAAGAGGGCAGGGAGCTTACCCTCTGCAGATGTGTTCTGGCCAGCCATTAAGGAGATGATTGTGAAGACACTCAAACCCAAAACTATACCTGATAAGAGAGGGCAAGGTAACTATGGAGGGCATCTAAGTTTTCAATAAACTCTGTCAGATTTCCTCCCAAGGTACGTAACATCCTGTCATAGCCAGACATCTTGCAGAACTTAAAAAAGTATTCTCCAAACATCTTCAGAATAGCTTCCATGGAGACACCTGCATGGGGAAAAGCACAGACCAAGTTGTCACTGAGTACTGTGGAAATTATCGGGCTAGTCCATTTTCAGTGAGTGCCTGATGCACTGTTTGAAACCTATATTTGACTTTCCTGGGAGGAACGTTTTTGTCCTTGGGGAAGGGAGATATTTTTATGGGTTCTGTTTTATAATCAATTACTCTATCAATGTAGTCATGATTTTATAAGAAATGTTGCAAGTACAATCCTATTTTTCCAAAAAAATTTAATTTTCTATCATCCTGAGCTTGATAAATACCAACAAACACAAGCATTTCCACATGCAAAGAGCAGAAAAAAGGGATTGTTTATGAAAGCATTACATCTTCACTACATAGATTGTTTTTTTAACTACGTACTAAATTTAGCACATTAGTTCCTAAACTGCCCTACTTGTCTGAGCATCCCACTAAATCTGTTCTTTTCTGTACATTTAAAAATGTTCGGGGCAGCTAGGTGGTGCAGTGGATAGAGCACTGGCCCTGGATTCAGGAGACCTGAGTTCAAATCCGGCCTCAGACACATAACGCTTACTAGCTGGGCAAGTCACTTAACCCCATTGCCTAGCAAAAACAAAAAACAAAAAAAAAAATGCTCCCTTCTTTTCTGCTCTGAATCACTACCACTATGGTCACTGTCCCTTTTTTTTTTTTTTTTTTTTTTTTTTGGCAATTGGGGTTAAGTAACTTGCCCAGGGTCACACAGCTAGTAAGTGTCAAGTGTTTGGTCTGAGGCCAAATTTGAACTCGGGTCCTCCTGACTTCAAGGTCGGGACCCTATCCACTTCACCACCTAGCTACTCCATCACCCTCCCTTCTAACAACAATTTTAGATATTGAGCATGTTCAAAAATATCTGTCTCATTTTGCACCTACACTCCATCATCCATCTCTTTGTCAGTTTATGGGAAACAGGTTTTCTCAGTGGTCCTCTGGAGTCATTGTTAGTCATTGCATTGACCTAGCCATATAATTATTAGGCATATACTCAGAGACCAAACAGAGAAGGAAAAGAGCCATATGTATAAAAATATTTACAGCAACACTTTTTATCGTAACAAAGAATTAGTAACTAAAGATGTGTCCCAAATTTGGGAATGGTTGAACAAATTATCTTGAATGAATATGATGGAATACTATAATACTGTAAGAAATTATAAAAGAGCTGGATCTTAGGAAACCTGGGAAGATTTATAGGAACTGATTTCAAAGTTAAGTGAATAGAACTAGAAAAATGATTTTTACAATGACTACAACAATGTAAAGAAAAACAACTTTAAAAGACTTAAGAACTCTATTTAATGAAATAACCAATCATGACCCCAGCTTCACACAAAGAGATTATAGACTCAATATGCAGAATGAGACATATTTTTCAAGATAGACAATATAGGAGTTTCTTTACTTGACTATGTACATTTGTTACAAAGATTTTTTTTCTTTTGTTTGTTGGTGGGGGAGGTGGAAAGGAGAGAAAATCAATGCTTATTAATTGAAAAAAATTTTAATTTTTTAAAATACATTTATCAGTTTAATGAGGATTTTAGGCATAGTTACAAATTGCTTCTCAGAATGGCTGAAAATAAATATCTTCTTAGAACCTTAATATCTCTGAGGGTCATAGAAAAAAGTTAAAATGATAGGAAGTCTATGGGTAGTTTTGTTCTATTTTAGTGGTCTTAGTTAAAACTAAAAAGGTAAGGGACAGGGGACTCTACTAGGGAAGAAAGAAAAAAGAAAGGGAAGGAAATCATTAATACATAAATAAGATGATGTGATTATAGGCCCACGGGATAGGAGGAACAGGTATACCATGAAGCTCACTTTCATCTGAACAAAATAAAGGAAGATTTAATACACTTATGCCTCTATACACACACACACACACACACACACACACAATCATGATTTCAGATAAGACTATGATAAATATGATAAATATAAACAAAATAAGATGAGATAAGCAGAGAAATTGTATCATGTTTAAAGGTTATAGATAACAAATCAATATTACTACTCTGTGTGTATGTATGCCTAATAGCATAGCATCTAAATACTTTAAAAGTTAATCAAATTGGAGAAAGAAATAGCAAAACTGCAAGAATGGAAGACTTTAATGTAACCTCTTTCAGACCTAGACAAATCTATTCAAAATATCAATAAGAAAGAAATTAGGGACCTTGGTAGAACTATAGAAAAATAAAAGATGATAGATTGCTGGCATTTACTGAACAGGCAAAGAAATAAATTTATGTACTCTTAAATGTACATAGTACCCTTCCTTACAAAAACCATGTATTGGGGCACAGAGACCTCACAAAAAAGGGCAAAAAAACAGAAATTTTGAACACATCAATTACAAGATAACGAAAAATTATGTTCTATAAAGGGACCTTAAAGAATGAATATTAATAAAATAGAAAGCAAAAAAGACCATTGATTTGATAAATAAAGCTCAGAACTGTTTTAAATTTTTTTTAATTTAAAAATTTTTTTTTAATTTTTAAAAATTTTTTTTCAGAACTATTTTAAAAAAACTAATAAAATAGATAAACACCTAGTCTGATTTTTAAAAAAGAGAAAAACCAAGCTGTCCGTATTTAAAATAAAAATGAAAACTTCTACCAATTCAAGATGAAATAAAGGAAATTTTCAGAAACTAATTTACTTAATTACCAAGTTAATTAGTTGAACAGATTAAGTACATAACATATAGAAGCAGACAAACACAGCAGTATAAAATTTGATAAGCCCAAAGACCCTAAATATTGGAAGAAAGATTCACTATTTGACAAAAAATTTGCTGGGAAAACTGGACACTCTAGCACATCTTCCACTTAATTGCCAAAATGATTTTCCTGAATTGCAGGTCTAATTGTGTCACACACACACACACACACACACACATACACATGCACACACATACAGAGAGACAGACAGACAGAAAGACAGGGGCTAAAATTCAATGGCTCCTTATCACCTCCAAGATTAAATATAAAACTCTATGTTTGGTATTCAAAGCCTTTCATAACCTAGCCCCTCTCCTACCTTTTCTGTTTTCTTATATCTTACACCCCCTACCTACTCTTTGTTCCATTGACGCTGGCCTCCTTGCTGTTCCTTTAATAAGACACTCCATTTTCCTACCCCAGGCATGTTCACTGGCTACCCTAAAATGCTCTCCTATCTTACCTCTGTCTCTTGGCTTCCTTTACCTCCTTCAAGTCCCAGTTGAAATCCCACCTTCTATAGGGAGCCAATCCCTCTTCATTCTGGTGTCTTCCCTCTGTCAATTATTTATTTGTTTTGCATATAGATTTTTTTTTTTTGGTAAATAGATGTTTGCATATTGTCTTCCTGCATTAGGCTATGAGTTCTTTGAGGTCAAAGGCAGTCTTTTGCCTTTCTTTGTATTCCCAACATTTAGTGTAGTAACATATGGTAGGCACTTAATAAATGTTTATTGACTGCCTGTCTAGCTACCATGATAAAAGTTACTATATATACTTTTACACAAATAAATTCTTTCCCTTTTCTTTGATTTCTTTGGCATATGGTCCTAGTAATGGTATAGCTGAGTGTTTTGTGATAGTCTTCCTTCTACTGGGTAATGGCTAACCAAATGATGGTATATAAATATAATGAAATACTGTTTTGTGTTGAGAAATAATGAAATGGTCAGTTTCAGAGGAAATTAGGAAAACCACTATGACCTGGTACAGAGCTAAGTGAACAGAGCTGGGAGAACAATTTATACAATCATAACAACACTAGAGAGAAAACTAATTTTGAAAGACTTCAGAATTATGATCAATGAAATGATAAATCACAAGTCCAAGAGAGTGATGATTGAAACATGCCACTTACCTGACAGACAAGTGATGAATTTAAGATGTAGAAAGAGACATATTTTCAAATATGACCAGTGTGGGCATTTGTTTTGCTCAACTATGCATCTACATATTGAAGGGAAAGGAGGATGGTGGGAAGGGCAAAGAAATTTTAAAAATAAAAAAATAGCAATGAATATTTATGCTATGATACGCAACACTTATTTCAATATAATTTATTGTTGTGCGGTGGCATTGTTCTGAATTAGAATTCAAGTATTGAGCCATAATACCAAAGAGGAAAGGAAATACACTGTTTCATCTTACTACTAAAAACCCTTTATGATGTAAGACTACTATTACCATTACCATTATCAAGAATGAATAGGGAGCATTAATTTGAAAAAAATTAAGTTTTAAATGCACAAGATTTAAAATGGACACCATTTACATTTTACAATCATTATACTGTTTAAAACACATATGTTGTACATTAAAATAATTTTTTCAAAAAATCATAATTGCTGGACCAATTCATAGTTTCACCAATAGTGCATCAGTGAGACTAATGACCTTACTTCTGTCTCTCCTTCAGTACTTTTCTTTGTTGTCATCTTTGCCAATCTGATAGGAATATGAAGTGGGAACTCAAGAGTCATTTTCATTTTCATTTCTCTAACTACTTCTGATTTGGAGAATTCTTTTTATATGGTTGGCGATGGCTTGCTTTTTTCTTTTGAGAACTGCATTTTCATATTTTCTAACCATTTACCTTTTGGGGAATTACTCTTGTTCTTATATATTTGAATTGGTTCCTACACACACACACACACACACACACACACACACACACATGCATATCTTAGATATCAGAAATTTCTTAGAGAAACTTATTTATTAAAGCAATTTAGAGAATTATTAAAGAATTTATTAGAGAAACAATAAAGATTTTTCTTAGTCATTTTTCCCTTTTAATTTTGGATAGATTGGAGTTTTTTGAGTGTGTGCAAAAGCTTTTCAATATTATGTAATCAGAATTATGCATTTTATCTCCTGTGAGCCTCTCTATCCTTTGTATGGTCATAAACTCTTCCCCTATCCTTTGCTATGAAAGATACCTCATTTCTTGCTCTTTTAATTTGTTTCTATCAC